TATAATGTATATCATTGTAAAATGTTCTGCAAAAATGTATGACAGTGTCAGGGTGTGACTCGGCATCCAGCATTGTGCTGAAGTGAAACTGCATTTGTTAGATATCTATCTGATTCCTTGTTTTCATATGGAACCTATTTTATGACCGTTGAGAATTGATTGATCCTGATTCTTCATTTTTTTTAGAGCTTTTCAACAATCCAACTGTTTATTATTGTTATAAATTGTTGAATGTGGGTTAAATTTCATATTTTTTCTTTGTTACTAAAATCATTGGGTCTACTTAATTATATTATTAGTATATTATTTTATACCTGCTCTTTTAAATGCAAAATTGTAATGGCTAAAAGTCACTTTATTTGTAAATATGAAAGATAAGGTACCTTAAGCCAAATTGAGTCCTGAGTCAAGCCAAAACACGACTGTGATATATTTTTCTTTATGTATAATAGTTGGTAATTATATTTTTATGAGATCATTGTATGATTTATGTGTGACTCAGAAGTTTCTGTTTCCCTGGGATGTAAAATATTGGTTTAATAATGAATCAGTTTACATACTTTATTCAATTTCTGTCATCATGTTGTATCTTTTGTTTAAATATCAACATACATACCTCTTACCACAACTATTATGGTTAATATGACTGACATTCTGTTTTTCAAAGTGGTTTATCTACATTGTGGTTATTTTATCATAGAAGATCTGTAATTATTACGATTTTATGTATGTTTAAAGTTACCTAAGGTTCAGGTTTATGACTGTTTGATGTCAAAATTTAGCAGATAAGAAACATTTGATCATTCTGATAGAAAATAGAAGTTCCTGTTTAGATCTGATCTTTAGCATTCAATTTATTGAAAATAATCACTCTATTCAGTGCACTTCTATAGTCTTCAGGATAGTTGAAAACTAGTTCATAATGATTGAGCTGTCACTTATTATGAAATCAACAAGGATACTTCATTGAAATTCCCAGTTAGTTTAAAAATAATTAGTCTTTGGAATAAGAATTAAATGAAGGGCCATTCAACTGTGTCTGAGAAAATCAGCTTTGGTACCAATTCATATTTCATGAAAAAATAAACTAACTTCAAAATAATTAGGGTATAAAGGAAGGAATGACCAAGAACGTGCTAAAGTTGGTTTAACTGTGACTTAAATATTGTCTCTCAAATTTCATAACAATAAACATACCATTAGTTTCCAATGGGGTTAACCCTTTGAACACGCATGGTCACACTGTTGTAGTGCCACAACTGTTGGTTGGAATATTGGAGATAACCATAAAAGCAATGTTGTAGTGCTCACAGTTCACAGTGTTGTAATTCCCTGGATGCGACCTTCCCAAGAAACCAGTGTATAAGGTGTGAAATGTTCAGGACCTCAATTAGTAGTCAAAGGGTTAGTGTAACTCTTATGTTTTATTAAAAGAATATATACATCAGAAAAGTTAAGAGGGCTCAAACTCATTCACAACCCAGCGGTCCTGAATTTATGTACCACAAGAAGGTGGGGTCAAGCCTTCTCTTTTGTAAAGTTCTCAGTACACGTACTGCTGTCTTATTCTTGTATTAGTGTTTAATATCAGCTTCCACCGATGGAGATATCGCAGGCAAGTTGTGTTATTGTATTATGCTTAACACATGTGAAGGGGTCTTTCGTGTAAACCCAATACATTTGCTCACCCCAGGGATCGAAGCCATGCCCACAAGCCAGAGCTTACCGGCCAGCTAGAGCTTGAAGCACAACACTCTAGACACCAGGCCATCCCAACCCCCCCACAAGATGTTGAACAGTTTCATTTATATAGCGATAAAGTAATCTATAATAAAGATAAGGTAGAGATACGATATTGTTTATCTTGTAAAGTGTAAGAATGAATTATCTTATTATATAATATGAGGTGTAACTATTATACACTACAGGTGTTAATATACTTACATCTACCTTGTATTAATATAATAATAGTATTATCCTGGATGAGATTTCTGATGTAATGTTACTATTATTTTATGCAAAATGTACATAGAAAATAGGGGGGTTGGATGGCCGAATGGTTAGCACGTGCGTGCTGTATCATACGGCCTGTCATTGAGTCAACTGGCGTGGTTTAGAATCCCTGGTTGTACGTTACAAGGAGTAGGGTCGCCTGTCCAACCTCGTGGGTTTTCTCCGGATCCTCCGGTTTCCTCCCACTGCTAAAGACCCCTACGCGCAAGCGAATTAATGAAATAAAATTAACCATATGTTAGTCCCGAAATGACCTAGTTTGTGTCAAGTGGACGTTAAACCCCATGTCTCTTTCTCTCACATAGAAAATAGCAAGTGAATATGAAATGAAATGGGAGTTTAACGTCCTACTTTTCTGCACCGACGGGCTAATGAAGATGGGCACACACCATACAAAGTCTTATGAGGGAAATGTTGCCTTGAAAGCAGTGTTACCACATACTCTTATTTTGAATTCCAACTGTCAAGGATTAACTTGTACTTGATTCGCCAATGTGATTTGCCCTCGATCTGTCCTGCACCACTGAGCCACCGTGGCTCCCAGTATATAGCTAATTATTATAAATCAAAGTCAAAATACCCCTCAAAATAACATCATTAAAATCTATTTTCCAAATGACAATTTCTAAAGTTATTTTATTACAATTCTGGTGCTAATGTATTGTCAGTGGTAGTTGGTATTGACCCTCTTTATCTACACTCAAACCCACCCCCTATCTAATAATTATGAATCTGAGATCGACAGTAGGACCACAACTTTTGAAAATTATGTTGGGTTATATTCTTAAGCCCGGCCCGGCCCATACAGCTACGACTACACACAACCCGACAGGACTCAGAGTCTTGGGTAGTTGTAAAAAAAATCGGGTCGCGTCTTTACTTCACTTGCCTACGACAAGTGGCCATGTGGGCCAGATGTAAATTAGCTATTTTATTAACTGTGCTGTTCACAATGTCATCATTTGGTTTAGTAGAATTTATATCACCGGAGATCACACTTTGAGAAAGAAATTAATATTATAAATATTTTTTACTTACCTTTAAAAGTTTTAGTTAAAGTTTTAAGTTAATTTTGTTAGTCCACACTCGTCGATTATAGGTGAAGTTCAAAAAAATTTAGAAAAAAAATGATTGCAAAGTTTAAACTGATAAAAATATTCTATAGAATGGTGTTGTTGTTTTTTTTGCCCTATATATATGTATAGAAAATTTTAGTTTTCAATTCTCTTCATAGAATTTGGTTGTTCTATAGGTTTCCATGCATTTATGATTTGTATGAATCCATTATTTAAAAAAAAATTTGTAAATATTTGAATGCATGTATGACCAGATGAAACACTCTGTGGATAGAAAGCATGATAATTGGTTTAAATGTAGACATTAAGTAATATGCTATAATAGAGAACCATTGTTAGATCTCATAGGGTTTTGATCCTATTATTGTTGTATATATTATGTAAAATTATTCAATAAGATAACAACTTAAGTGTTTAGTTAATTGTTAGGTTAGATAGATAATCTCACCTAATTTAACCAGTTCTACATTATATATGCAGTGTCATGGACAGTGTGGTAGGGCTCATTTCATATGTCTGTCAAATCTAGAGTAAGTAGAATGCATTGACATCAGTATGTCTGTCAGATCTTAAGTAGATTGCATCAACAATTGGTGAGTAAATTAATTGGGCAGACGCAATTTGATCTTTAAACAACATTAAAAAGTGTAACCCTCCAAAATTATCAGTTGTTTCTCTATGCTGGGTATGTGTTATCTAAAGCTGATATACTTTTAGTCTCAATTTCCCCGACCCAAACTGCCACCCCATTTCAACTGGTTTGAACAAAATAATGTCACTGATATAATAATATTATAGTACTTCTAATGTTTTTATATTCCAACAATGAATAGATAATGATGATGAACAAACCACCTCTGTTCAAAATTAACATTTGTCTTTATGATGCCACTGGCGGTTTCAGAACTAGCTATTGTTGATTAAACAGGGTAGAAATTGGATAATAGGTAATTTCAACACACAAAATATACAAATATGACCAATTTACAAAAAACATCACCATATTTGTGCCAGGTGATGCCATATTGAAAGATTTTAGGAATCAATGATGTCACCAACACATTAATTAATTAACAGTAGCACTTCCTTCAATGGCTCTCAGTTTGACCTTTGAGACTATGGAGACAATTGATGCTATTTTGTCCGGAGGAAACTTGAGACAATTTGTGTTGGTGAAATCCAGACTGAGTTCCACTTTAATCTTCCTCTCCCTCTCAAGAATATATAATGCAATATGACTTAAACATACATTATGCAAGAGCTAAATCTGCAAATTGCAGGTCTCTCTTTAGGCCTGAAATGTTATCTAAATTATTAATTAGACATTAATTAACTTATCCAGACCATAATCAACTCTCGATGGCATCGTTAGCCTGCGATATTTAAGTACAATGTAGGTAGTAAGCCATAACTTTAGGCACTCTGGCTTACTACCTACATTGTACTTAAATGTACTGCATTCGCATATACCGAGAGGATTGGTATCGGAAAATCACTTTTGATACTTATCCCAGCGTGAATGCGGCCATAGAACTATGGGATGGGAACTGGAGGATTTACATAATAAACATACATTGAACGGATCAGAGTGCACATAACATCATACTGTGGATATATACCTTTAACCCACACTACTTGATATAAATATAAAAAATGTGAGGACCCTTCGGGACTAAATCTTGTGATATTGTATAGTCGTTTGTTGCAAAAGTTCTTAAGCGTGAATCCATTTCGATTTAAAATGGTTCAACTATTATCCAACGTGACATATCATTTATGTCTGAGTCAAGATCAGTCATGAATATCCCTACTACTACTTGAAACAATAACTATATTAAACATGATAGAATAAATGTAGTTTATACACAGTTTTATCTATATAATGATTGGTTTTTTTTGGGTTTTTTTCAGATGAAAGTGTTTGATGATAATGATAGATAATAGGAATGGGAGAAGTGCATACAGATTATAAGACATTAGAACTATATATATTACAAGTTGAGGTAAGTAATACAAATGAAGCTGATATGTTGAAAGTACACTGAAAATTGGGTAGTGTAAATTTATTGTATAAAGAAAAATTTGTCAGAAACAAATGGATGTGACAGAGAAATCACACAAGTGATCAAATTGCAATATTGCAAATTTGGAGTCCTAAAGACTTAGGCTGCATTCACATGGATTTTACCTGCACACTGCAGGATAAGAATTCATGTAAGCAGACACAATGGATTAGTCCATTCGGTGGTGCTGCAGTGTGTCATGGGAACTTGATATATGTAAGCACATTGTGGAAATGTTGCTTCACATTGAATAAAGATCCCACTTTTTACCCAAAATATCTGTATTCATGTACTAAAAGTGGATTGGTATCTGAATGTGAGTTGATGTCATTGAGTTACCTCTGAAGATGTTAAACATTTAACTGATATTAGTAGTAGTTCTTTAGTGAGCAAAAAATCAGAGTTTGTCACTGACTTAGTGTTTATTTTTTCAGGAGAAACTTGGATCTGTTCTCAGTCATAAAGATGTTGAAAATAATAAAAGTGAAGTGGATATGGTTATTTCACCGTTTAATCCCCCTAAATCCACATCTAATCTTAATGAGGATTATATAATTAACAATAAGATGGATAACTCTGATCAAAATATTGAGCTGGTCACGACAGAAAATAAGGTAAGCTGAATGACAGATGTTGCAAAAACCATCACAGGAACATGCTTTTGATGGTTTTAGAAAAATTACAATGTGTGTTTAGACAGAATACAATAATAGGTTAAACACAGTGTTCAATTTTTCTCATTTAACATTTTACATTTGTGGAGGGGGTAGGGTAGCCAAGTACCTTGCACATATTGTAGATCACTGCTTATCCGTACACATAACTTTAGGCACTCAAAGACCGAAATAAGTGTACATGTTGGTCTAAAATGACTTACTTTGTTTTTAATGATGTTCAATGCTCTTTCTTTCTCTCACTGACAAATGGCTTCTAAAAATCTAAAAAAGGAAATTAAATTGTTAAAATGATCAAAGGTTTGTAAATGTTTGGCCATGTAACTTGAGAATTATTGTCTATCAGTTAGTTTTGGCCATTAAGATCTGACATAGTTTAATTGTTCAATGGGGCATGAAATCACTCAATGATCACAAATAATAGGGCTGTAGATTTATTTCTTGCTATTACTTCATCAGATATTTAACTGAGTGTTTAGTGAGAAAATGAGGGTGTTATATACTCACAAGGTATTCACGGTTGGTTTGTACACAATTTTAAATGACCATAAAGGATAATGATACAGTCTAGATGTGCTTTTGTGTGTAAATACCTTGTAATAGATGTATGTGTTTTTAATAGCATTAATGTTCTGTAATGGATACAAGTTGTCTACCCATTTAGTCTCAAGATGATTTATAATTGACTGCTCTTAGTAGATGAAATACAATGTATATTATAGATTTATAATGGTATGTACATGTAGGAACGTATATCAATAAATTGTGATTTATAAGGTAATGGATATATAGTATACAACAGTACTACAAAAGTTTGTTAGCTGTGTGAATATTTACAAATGAAGTGGTATAAGTTGTTCTTATTAAGCAGAGATTTATATAAAGTATAGAAAAGGTATAAAAAGTTAGCTGGTTAAAGATGCATCATTATGTAAGATTTAGATAAAGAGCTGGTCGTGCTTGCTATAATAGTACAAAAATAGATAATGAAGAATGAACATATTAAAAATTTCATTAAAATTTCTTTATTCTGGGTATATATTTATAACTGTTTGAAGATGTAGCGTAGATCCTTTAGTATCATAGCAACGGTACTTGTCAACTGAGACAAAGTCTCAATTATCCATTTTATCGTTAGATTTTTAAATCTCGGGGGTGTTCAAATCCGTTTAAATCTCAGTCATCCGATGGTTAGAGAGTTGGTGGTTATAGGCTTGTCATGTGAATAAATGTCTAAATAATAATGTATATAACATTTGAAGCCAAAACAAAGACCTGGCCCGAGTTCACAAAGCATACTTAGACTTCAGTTAAGAATTTACTCAAAATTGTTCGCCTTATTTTATCTAAAATATAGCCCTTTATAAAACTTTTGGTCTTTTAATGTATCAAGTACATTAATAAGAAACTATGTGCTAAGTTTTGTGTTTCGGGATCAATGATATTTCTTATAAACAGTGATTGAAAGTTGAGAATGCTTTGTGAATATGCACATTTAGCGCTTACATAATCTTTAATGATGATATCATATCTGTATAACTCATTTTTTGTGTATGTGAAAAAGCTTTATTTAAGTCCGCTTCCACCGAAGTGATATCGCAGACAAGCACACATTTTGTGTGTGTTAGTTGTATTTTACGTCCGCTTCCAGAGAGGTGATATCGCAGACAATCACATTTTGTGTGTGTGAGTTAGTTGTATTTTACGTTCGCTTCCACCAAGGTGATATCGCAGACAATAACGTTATGTGTACATGGTGCAATATTTTACAATGTGATCACATTTTGTTGGGGATATTTGTTTATAAAGTGTATTAGTCAAAGCAGAACAGTTAAACCCCATTTCATTTGATGTATTAGGTTGTATATTGGAATGAGGTATTATATTGGTATGATTAGGTGTCTGTGTATATTACTGTTGAGTTGCATATTGGTATTGTGTATTATAAGTGGTAATACTAGTATTTATTAGATGTCTATGTATATTTCTGTTAAGTTGTATATTGGTATAATATATATTACTGTTAATTTGTATATTGGTATGAGGTGTTATAAGTGATGATTTATTTATTAGGTATCTATATATATATTACTGTTAAGTTGTATTTTTGTATCAGGTATTATAAGTGATGATTTATTGGGTGTCTATATGCATATTAGTATTAAGTTGTTTATTAGAGTTAAAAGGGATATGGATTGATTAGTGAGATACATATAGTATTATCAGTATATATATATATATATATATATATTTTGGCATAAAGTAATGTGTAGTTGTTAATTGGAATTGGTGCCTATCAGTAATTAATATTGGACATGGAAATATGATTGATAAATTTCAATTAACTTCTAGTTTCTAGTTCTGAGATGTATAATTGTATGAGTATGAACTATTTTTAAGTTTCTGTATCTTGTTTTAAGATAGTATCTTGTTTTATTAGATATTGATAATATCATTCCTTACTTGATTCATATGTTATTGATATGTAATCCAAGGGATTTACAGGATATATTAAAGTATGTAATATGTTGTAACAGCCTGTCAATAGATATTAGTTAGATGATCAATGTATAGTGATAGTACATTCTTAAATAGTTATGTACATGAAATAGTTATGTACATTGGTTTAGATATCATTAATTACAATGTTATAAATTGTATGAGAGAGAGAGAGAGAGAGAGAGAGAGATGAAATAGTTATGTACATTGGTTTAGATATTAATTACATTACAATGTCATAAATTGTATGAGAGAGAGAGAGAGAGAGAGAGATGAAATAGTTATGTACATTGGTTTAGATATTAATTACATTACAATGTCATAAATTGTATGATGAGAGAGAGAGAGAGGGGAGGGGGGGTTAACGTCCACTCAACACAACTAGGTCATTTCAGAATAACATGGTTAAATAGAATTTTGGTAATTCACTCACTTACATGTGGTCTTTAGCAGTGGCGGAGGCATGGTGGCTAAGTGAGTAAGGTTTGCTAGCCTGGAGGTTGTGGGTTCGATCCAGGTGTTGGCAGAGAAAGTTCATCGGGATTTACTGACGTGGTGCAAAACGGAGAGCAATGACAGCTGTCTAGTTGTTTGGATGGGACAAAAAAAAGGTCCCCTGTACACATTGGCGTGCACATAAAATATCCCCTGGCAGTTAGAATTCGATATAAGAGTAGACTGTGGTGTTGAACTATACTCAGAATTTAGAATGTGAGATTATAATTGTTGGGTGGATCTTAAAACATACGTGTCATTATTATCACATACAGGGACATCTCACACCGCTCACTTGCAAAGTTTAAAAATGTATAGACCTACATGAAATAAAAGTACGATTAAAAAGATGATTTGACATTTACTGTAGGGGGAGTTTTTATCATCACAATTTCAATTGCTATCAATTTAGATATTATAGGGTATAAGGAGTATAATTGGATGGTATCTGTTAAATCATCATTATTATCAAACATAACTAGGTTATGGCCTAACAGATACACCAGATGGTTTTATTGTTGTCCACTATAAATCACCTGTAATGAATTGTATCTATATTGACCACAATGCCTTTACAATCAGAATTATAAGAGAAAACTTGTTGAAAGTTGGGCTACATGTGTACAAACCATTGATTACATTCCATATAAATTGTGTTGTGTTTTTATTATGCTCAGTCGGTAACTGCCACCCAAGGATTATAATGACCAGAATGTTAAATAGGAACAGTAAACTCATTAATTCATTTGATAATTAGTATTTGTTGTACTTTTGTTTTGAAACATCTTTTCTAGTCTACCTGTTAATTTTTGCTTCTATCCAGCACTGCACTATCAAAGATGCAAGTAGTGTAGCTGTCATGCAATAAGCAAAGTATTCTTCTATCTTTTCTTGTATATCTGTTTACCTATTAGTTTTAGCTTCTAATTCCCAACACTGCTCTGTTAAAGATGTGGGTGTCATGCAAAGGGTAGAGTATGCTTATACTTCTGTATATCTGTCCACCTATTAGTCATTCGGATGGGACGAAAAAAATGACCCCTTGGCAGTTGGAATTTGATATAAGAGTTGGCCATAATACATCTCACCGGCAAAATTTCCCTCGTAGCACACTGTATGGAGTATGCCCATCTTCATTAGCCCGGTAGGAGCAGAACATTAGGACGTTAAACCCCATTTCATTTCCACCTATTAGCTTTTGCTTCTGATTTATAATTTATCTATTAATACTACACATAGTGATAGGTGTCATGCAAGTGGCAAGGTATGCTTATACTCTTTCTAGAAAATGTGATCCATTGTACGTTTATGCTGTAAAGAAATATTTTAAAGTCCTGTTTTATGTGAATGCAATGAAATACTTACCTATGCCATTTTTTTATTACGAAAATCCTTTGTTTAGGATTGGGAGGGAGTGTAAGATTTGGTGGGAGATAATATGAATACAATGTATCTAGGAAGATCAAGTGATCATCTTGAATTACAGAATATAAATAAAGATGTAAATACATAATCTGTCTTACAAGTAAATCTTGATGTGGTTTTTATGAAACTAGATGTAGTGACGTATTGTTTGGGACAGATGACAGAGGTCCTGTATTAAAGATAACCTTTCATTGAAATAAGATATTGAAAGACCCCCTTAAATAAGTGCATATTTTATTGTTTTCCTATCTTCTGATAGTAGTATGTTGAATACTACTCAGTCAAAGTATATCCACCAAAGTGAATTGTGGTACCTACTAGTTACCAGGAATGATATTATTTATGAATATTAGGTCAGGTACTTTATATACAATATTTTTATTGACTGTATTTCCTATTGACCTAGTAATAATTGTTGAATGGAGAATTGTTATCAGGTGACACAAGGTCAGATAAACAAAATAATATTCAGCATATGGTGTCCATTGTAGACGAGGTTAAAATCATGTAGTAATAGATGATAAAACAGTAGTAGAGACAATCCTATCTTGTCGACTTTAATCACAACCATTCCTTATTTGTGAGGGAGATGGGAGAAATTAATGTAGAATGAATTGTTTGGGTATTGGATGTCCAGTAAAGAATTTATAATAACATTTTTAACCATCCTAATCTAGCCAAGCAGTGATATTTCTATGTGGTCATAATTATAAACAATATTTATTCAGGATATTAAACAATTTTTATTCAGGATATCTGAATGGGATAGGTTAAAAGGCATAGCTTATGTAAAACTCTGCTCTCTATAATCATTTTCACCCATGGTTTGTGGATATTGTCAGTATAAAGAATAAGTGACCTGGTGATGACAAATTTATAATATTTCTGTAAATTTCTATTATCCTGACACATCAACCTATTCTTTAATAATTATGATGACAGTATTCATTTAATTTTAATTTTGAAGTCATGCGTCTTCTTTACCAAAGATTTGGTAAGCATTTTTTGTTTTGTTTACAATGGAAATATATCTGTAGCATTTAATGTTGGTGTAAGAATAGTGGTTCTGTCTCATTAAACTCAATTGTCTACTGTGGTGACTAAATTGTGTGATAGGAGATGTAGTTGACTGAACATGAATTGTGAATGTATACAACTCTTTAAAAAAGGGGTTTACAAATTATTATCAACAACACTTCGATTTCATACAGAATGATCCAAGTTGAATTTTCTCTATAGGGTTGGTAAACAGAAGCAAAGATGTAGATGGAGCTTGTAAAATTGTGCAAGCCTATCATTGTCTCTTTGATCATATTTTTCGTTTATGGATGTTCTTTACATTTCAGGATCTACAGTTACCAGAGATTATTTCTGATTGTGAAGAAATACCAGTTCCATCCATTGCTAAATCACAACAACTCATTGCATCCACATTACTCAAGCAAAATGAAGCCAAACACTGCAGTTTGGGTGATGAACCAGTCAAAGAAAGGGAGATAACTCCACTAGTCATAGTATCAGAAAATCATAGCGATGTCAACAATGCTAAGGAAACCAAAGACCAACAAACAGATACAAATGATATGTGCAATAGTGATAAATTAATGGATGTAGCTGAAGCCCAAATTGTACCCCCAAAAAACGTTTTAAAAGATAAGTCTGCTCAAGTTACTTGTGATTCTGATAACCAAGTTGAACCAAAAAAGCAGCATGCTTCTGTTAATGAAAAAGGTGTTTCAGATGCTTCGTCAATGTCAAGGTCTTTAAATTTCGATAAAGACAGTGTTAAAACAATCCCTATTTTACGAGAAAAACTTTCTAAAGATAAGTTAAAGCGACTTAGTCAACTGAATATTGATGTATGTCGTAATTATGAGAATCAGAAAAATTCATTTTATGATGATAAGTCCCCAGAAATGCAGGTAGTAGTCAACTCACTTACACCAGTTTTGTCTCGCAGACGGTCACATAAAAATCGTGAAATGCTGAGGAATGAAGAAGAAAAGGAAAACAGTATTAATAAAAACGGCATTAGTATTAAACATTCAAATAATTTGACCGTTCCTGATGGTAACATTACTTTATCACAAGAAATGTCATCAACATGGCATGGGCCGCCTTCTCTTAATCACCCTCATCGTCCAAAAATGGGTATTGGCATGGTGATGTCAGAAAGCACACCGTTATTTTCTATCTTTGAGAAAAATGCTTTGACGAAGTCTGCTAGCTTCCATGTCAATGGGACAAATACTGTGCCTAAAAATTTCTCAAAAACAATTTTAGATGCCATGCATAAAAGATATTGTTCACATCAGTATTCACAGAAATTGGATACCGGACCGAAATCAACCCTTGTGAAAATTCATAAAGAAGAACAATTTATAGCGACACACAGTGTACGGAAACCTCCACAGACGTTATCTTTGTCAACCGATTGTGACACATCTTCAAGCACAAGTTCCTCTCCCAGAATACCACGCCTAACTACACCATTAATTACAGAGTCTGCAGATTCTCCTTCTTCGGTCAAGGTAAGCTTTCTTATCTTTAATTGTCACCTAGATCTGCAATAAAGAGATTATACAGTCAATACTTAAGACTAAAATTAACCACACTTTCCCTCCAGGTTCTGGTTACTCAATCATCTTTAATTTATAACTTTTGGAAACGTTAAAACAATGTCAATTTGGTTAAAAAAGATAAAGTATAAAGACAAGTCTTTGAAAATAAGACAATTATAGTAAAATAAATTGGAGACCTACTTACCCTTCTTTCATAAAACCATGATAACTATATTTGTATTTGGTCTTTTTTACAAGTATTTATATTGAAAACCCTGCCTGAGCGAGCATTTTACTGTGGTGTTGTGGTTTTTCATCAGTTATGTAGCCTATTAATTAAAATGCCCACTGCCCTTCTGGTTTGAAAATCGTTCCAGAGATAGGTTTCTTGATAGGATCATCATATATCGTAAGGCAGGTGAACACAGTGCTTTAGAATTAAGGCATTTCACACCAACAGTAGGAGAACACAAGTTTGAACTGGGTAGGCGGTCAGAAACTATAGGCCTTGTTTGGCTTGTATGAGTTTGATAAATTAGACTTCTCCTCATACTGGTAGTTCGTGGTTTTTGTGAATATTTCATTCCTTGATAGTGAACATTATTGAAATGCTGTGTGATGGAGATTGGTGTCGGCACTATTTGTATTTCTATGAATATAGAAAATAACTACTTAGGCTACTTACTGTACATGTTGTGAATAATCAGCAAACTTATGTAATTGGTTCTGCTGGTTAGAAATCACAGCTATCCCCTTAGCAGTATTTCTACAATGTATACGCCCACATTGAAATGTGGTCATATATTGTCATGAAATGAAGGAACTATTGATTTTCATTGGTTTCCGATAATTACTGCCAGAGTTGTGGCCCTAAATCACTTTGAAAAATCTTGTGGACACTCTGGAGGCTAAGTTAAAATCTGATTGACTTTAAATTTATATACAGTGTTTAAGGTCATGAGAGGAAAAAGGCAATTGATTTTTTTTTTATTGATTTCCGATGATTATGGCAATTGATATTAAATGTTTTGTATGCTAAATGTTAGAATAGGGCAGAACTCTATGGGGCGCCGTTTGTAAATTAATTATTTAGCTTTTTATATAGCAAAAAACACTAGATTTAATTTAAATTTATATATATAGTTAAATCTCGACTTTTGTGCAAATTTTTCACTTTTAATATTTTAACTAAAAATACAACAAAAACTCAATATTTAACATAATATATATAAATATTTCTTGATTTGTCTCTATTTTCATATTTAACATTTAGCATTGAATATTAAGACCAAAACAAGAGATTTGATGATATATAAATATTTAGTTAAATGTTTAAACATTTAGCTAAATATATATTTAGTTAAATGTTAAAATACTTAGTTAAACATTTATATATTTAGTTAAACATTTATATATTTAGTTAAACATTTATATATTTAGCTAAATAATATATATTTAGCTAAATAATATATATTTAGCTAAATATTTATATATTTAACTAAATATTTATATATTTAACTAAATATTTATATATTTAACTAAATATTTATATATTTAACTAAATAATTATATATTTAGCTAAACATATAGTTAAATTTACAAAGCGCAACTGTACCACGCCGTTTGTAAAATGATTATTGTTGTAAGCGACTTCACACTAAACGATGACGTAGTGTACAACTTTCCATTGACTGCACAACACAGTACTATCTGGTACCTGAACGCTCAGCTTAGTTCTTACACCCGTGATTCGGGTTACAAGTTCGTGGTCAGCTTCCATTTCTAATTGCTAGTAGGCCTATTGTGCCAAGGCTCACATGTCGGGTACACGTCATCATTTTATCCGCAGTTTTTTGTGTCGCATTAGTTACCTGTTTATATATTTAACTAAATATATATATTTAGTTAAATGTTTATATATTTAGTTAAATGTTTATATATATTTAGCTAAATGTTTATATATTTAGCTAAATGTTTATATATTTAGCTAAATGTTTATATATTTAGCTAAATGTTTATATATTTAGCTAAATGTTTATATATTTAGCTAAATATTTAACTTTAGATTTTTCAGTGATTTAGTATTTAGCATTTATACCTACGAAAAACAGCACATTTAGCTATATATTTAACTAAGCGATGTGAAATCAAGATATAACATTTAAAGTTTTTCATAGACCAAAAACTCGACTTTTAGCTACAATATTTTTTGATATTTACATATATGCCATTTTTGTTCTAATATTTATCTAAATATATATATTCGGAGTTAAATCTAATGTATTTTGCTATAAAAAAAATTAAATAATTATTTTACAAATGGCGCCCCATAGAACTCGAAGCCAAATGGTTGTTACTCATAATCAGATTTTAGTGTGTTGTAAATGTTTTCATTTCTGACAAAAGAAAAATTATGTGACAGCCCTTGTTGACTCCCCGGACGACTTAGCTGCCTGGCATCCTATCTTTAGATTTGAAATAGAATAGGATTCCCTAATTTTACACGTTATAGTTTGTGTTTTTAGCAACACATTATAATAATATATAGTTTTCCAGTAATTTGGAATATATCCTCAAATCATTGATTATGTAAATAGGACGTTGAATGTCAAAGGAATATAGTGAGCACATAAGTGGAAGATTAATGTTTTTGTTAATCAGAAATTATTATATAATATGTACATGATATATATTATAATAGTGAGAGATATTAATATTATTATAACAGTTAAACAATGACATAGCTTGGTGGTATATAAATCATATTATACACCTTTACAATCTATAAATCATATTAATGTCTGGCTACCTGATTTAACTGACTACTTACTGACCACTGTGACATAGATCACAAATAGTTTACATTTATGACAGGCAAAATAATAATGTCAATATGGAGCACAAACCCAGGAGCCGGCAACCCCCAAAAGCCAGGCAACCCCCAAAAGCCAACCGAAACCAGCTCATTTAATAACCGCATAAAACTTGTTGCAAAATGTTCAGCATATTCACATGTATCACAAGTCCACCCCAAGACTTTTTCAGTAGTGGGGTACCACTGTCAGACATCCTTAATTGCCCCACCCCTCAAAAGCTAACCTAGACTAGCTCATATACTGAGCGCACAAAATGCTCAGCATATTCTCATATATCAAAAATGCTAGCCAGACATTTTCAGTGATGGGATACCCTCGCCATACATCACTAATAGCCCACCCTAAAAGCTAATGTACATCAACACATGACTAAAGAATAAATTGTATTTGAAATATTTAACATATCCGCATGCATGGCCATTCCTTGACAGTGACAAGTACCCCAGCCATGCAGAGGCTACAAACTGCAAATGAATCAGTGACTAATAATACAAGTGTTTAGGTTGGTTCTGTCTGAAATGTTCTATTTTGGGCAATTGAAGAGTCAGTGGACAGTTAAAAGGTCTAGTATTTGTCCTCTTCCGGATCAGGATCAGAATCAGTACCAGTATTCTAAAAATCTAGGAATCATCATCAGAATCACATAAAGTTCATAAAGAGATTAAGTGTCAAGGTCACATTTGTTCCATATAATAATTGTCACTGTAACTCTCTATCTCGAGAATGAATGTTTGATGGTAAATATTTTTGTAAAGAGAAGAACTGTATTCTCATGCCTTAGTATTGACATTTTTTTATTTCAATAGAAATGGTTGCTTAGGACAATTAAAAAGAGTTTAATAGCCTAGGCATGCATTTATGATGGTCAACGCCCTTTTCACACTGACAAACCTCCGTTAAACTTACTAACATGTTGTCACTACCTTCCTCGGCTTTTAGCTTACTATTGACGTTTCTTGGACCTTTTATTTGACCAAAAGAAACACTCAACATGCCCTAAAATGACTTATGAACTTAAAAGAAAACGACCATCTTGGCTTGGATATGTCATTAGAATAAGATGGTTAGCAGAGCTTTACCAGTGTATGTTCTATTCAACAACACATGAATATCACAAATATCATTTATGTGCCGAGGGAATGATTTACCAATCTGTGAAGATTAAGATTGAACAAACATTTTATTCTTCTACCCAGTAAAACATAGACGTTACTTAGATGTTCTTACTTCCTGTCAGATATCTGTAACAATTACAAACTGTGTTTTATTTTGTGGGGGTAGTTTAGAGAAAAGTCATTCCCACAGACAGCATTCTAACCAGAATACTTTTCTTTCCAACAATTCAATTATTAACCCTTTAACCGGCAGATGTTCCATATGGAACATTTCAGGAGGCCATTTTGCAGGTCATGACATATAAGTAAAAATGACAAAAGAAAAATGTTAAATATTGTATACCACTGAACAGGGGAATACAAAACCTTTCTAAAAATATGTACATCTGTATGATTTATTCTTAAACTTAAAGAGTTACAGGATATATTCTTAACTATATGCTTTCCCTAGTCGAAACTCCAAAACAATCTGACAGTTAAAGGGTTAAACAATTTGATGATTACTGAACACAAATTATTGTGTAAAAATTAGTAGGCTATTGAAAACAATTGTCTGTTGAATAAGCACAAGAACCCCATATGCCCCGAATGCCGTTGTTAATGACCATTGTTTTTTTATAGGTATATGGTAAGCCAAATTTGATAGAAATCTTAGTTTTAATTTTCTGTAATATGGTAAAGTTAGTTAAATTTACAAAACAAAAATGTTATATTATTTGCATATGATGACTTCAACAGGGTTTATGAAATATAACAAATATTTTACATTGAATCGCATAATTATGATTCACAAGTAAACATTTTATTTTTAACACAGATTTTGGTTTTCACAATACAATGCAATCAAGTTGATAAGTAACAGTTTTGCAGTTATTAAAAGCTTGGGTATAGCACATGCCGTAATTCTGCAATTTTTACAGGCAAATGGTTATAAAGTCTCTTGCTAACAGATGACATTCATTCATCTATAAATAAATTT